TTTTATTATTAATCAAAGTTTCCGAGTTCTAATTCTAGTTCTTCACTGATCACTTAATCAGCTCTTTGCATTTCAGCCTCCTCATCTGTAAAATAGGGATAAATCTATTTGATCTAAACCTACTGGATTTTTTTCCTCATCAAAATCTTAGATGATGAATGTGAAAAACTATACTGGAAAAAATAAAGTGTTAGAAGAAAGGTATACATATATATGTTTTAGTCTCTGTGGCTCTGAGCCTTGGTATTATTCTACACCCTGCATAATGCTAGATGTGACAGTGATATATTGCATCAGGAGCTAGTACATGAAGATACCTCTTATAACAGGTTGGACAGCATGGAAACAAACTCCCCAAACGGAGAGGGGCATATGGAAAAATACAGGTAATGGCATAAATCCACCTGGCATGGGGAAAAAGCCTGGAATTCTACTATCCAAAGCACTATATTCAACAAAAGCGTCTAAAACCACGGAGATCGAAGATAAACCGCAGCTGCATCGTAAGCAGAGATGTCAGAGTTAAAAGACACACACACACACACACACACACACACACACACACACACACACACACACACACTCTGTGCCCTGAAATGAGGGGCGTCTGGCAGGGACAGGAGTGCTCTGGCGGCTCATGCAATGCAAAACAGAGGTGCTTTCTAATCACAGGAAGCAGTCAAGACAGGGCCTCTGACCTGCAGTCGAGAGGGTTCTTACCTTTTTGACATCCCTGACCAAGTGGTACAATGTGTTTGAGGGCCCATGTCTCTGAAAACAATAAAGAAGAATCAAATGGTTTTGCTAGTCGGGCTCTTCCTGGCGAGGCAAGGAGGATCTGGAAGGAAGGGGCTGGCTGGCAAGGGACAGTCAATCAGATGAACCTTGTTGTAGTTGCTCAGTTGTACCTGTCTTTCCTAAAGAAACACACTGGCAGATTTTTGACTTGTGGTTCCTCAAGGAAAAGCATCTGAGGCTCTAGGTTCAAACTCTATAAAGGAAGCCATCACCGCCGTGGACAGCTAAACCAAGACACCACTTAAGGGGCTAGTTTTGCATCAGGGGGAGGCAAAGGGGCCAGTTTCCCGCGCCGGAAATACACTTCGGCACACTGCCAATCACATCTTGTTTGTTGCCCACATTGAATGAGAAATTGTGTAAGGGGTTGGTAAACTTCTTTAGTAAATAGCCAGGTGGTCAATATTTTAGACTATGTGGGGTATAGAGTCTTCATGGCAGCTGTTCAATGCTGCTGTTGGTGCGGAAGCAGCCAGAGATGATACCTAAACAAAGGACCTTGCCTATGTTTCAGCAAAACTTGATTTGTGGACACAAAAAGAGAGAAAATTTCATATAATTTGAATGTCACAAAATATTCTTCTTTTGATTTTTTTCAAACAATGAAAATGTGAAAAAACCCTTCTCAGCTCCCAGGCCATACAAAAATAGGCAGCAAGCTGGATTTGGCTGTTGGGTGGTAGTTTGCTAAAATCTGGTCTAAAGAAAAGGCCACAGGAAGTCTGGGAAAGAGAGGCCTGGGGAAAAGCTGTATGTTTGCTTAAGGCAGGGGTGGGGAATGTCGGCCTGTGGGCTGGGGGCTGTATGAGGCCCCGGAATCACTTGGTCTGGCCTGCCACGGCAACCGCAGGTGGACTCGAAACTCAATAAATCTAGGAGTCTTTTCCTGGTGACATAAATTTATATTAAGTGAATTAGATTAAGCAAACGATGTTATAAATATCCAAATGGCCCCTGGCAGGAAAAAGGTTTCCCACCTCTGGCTTAAGGAAGAATAAAATGAAATGGTTTGCCACTCCATTGTCTTTCAGGAATAGGCATGCTGGATAAAATATAGGATGACTAGTTAAATTTGAATTCCAGATAGACAGTGAATGATTTCTAATATAAGTATGCCCCATGCAGTATTTGGGACACAATTCTACTAAAAATTATTTGTTGTTTGTCTGAAATTTAAATTCACCTGGGCATCCTGTATTATTATTTGCTAAATCTGGTGACCCCATGAAAATATCTCAGACAGTGGTGGCACACCCTTAAGCATGGCTGAAACACGTTCAAGGATTGAGATCATCCCCCTCTACGGCCTCAGTGACCTACTTGCCCACTCAAGCAGACATGCTCATCAGAGCTTTTTCCACTGAGGGATGCAGGTCGATAGGGATTAAACATGCAGACTGTGGAGTCAGAATGCCTGGCTCCCCAGCTGTGACCGCAGGCAGCTGCCTCACTGTGACTCAGTAGTACCATCTCTAAAATGAGGATAACATTTTGTAAAATTTACCTATGAAGCCACCTGGTCCTGGGCTTTTCTTTGTTGGGAGGTTTTTGATTACGAATTCAATCTCCTTACTTGTTATTAATCTCTTCACATTTTAAAGTTCTTTATCATTCAGACTTGGTTGATTGCATATTTCTACATGTGTCCATTTCCTCTATGGCTAATCGTTGATCTTTTTTGTAGGGATGAAAGGTTATGTTGCCATCTTGGTTTATTATTCTTACGGAAAGTCTCAGTATGCTGAACAACCACAACAACAAAAAATCTACAGGAGAAAAAGAAACCTGGAAACACTCTACTAAACTCATTTCTATGTCCATCAGTGGGAGTAAGATAGAGCCAGAATGGCACCATCTAACACCTAAAACTGGCTGGGAATAGGTCAATAATTTTAATCTCATTAGTACTGTGGGTGGTGAAATAGAGAAGTGCTGTGACAAATGAAGGGAAGAATAATCTCTAAGAAGCTTTAGATCAGTACTAGCTTCTTTCTTCACCTAGGAGTTTTGTGACCTTGAATAACTCAATTCACTTTTTGGCCTCTGTTTTCTCATCTGTAAAATGGGGCAGTGCAATTTCTAACATTTTAAACATCACTGGATTTTAGTGAGTAGGAGCTCAGAGCCAATGTACTTAATTCACTGAATACTCTCAAAAGCTTCATAAATAGTAGTTTTTCTTATGATTGGTATCCCTAGTGAATGAGTTAAAAAATCATTATGAAACAATGACAAATTTTTGGGGGTAACCCCAAGCAAGAGGTTTTTATATTTTATTCATAGCTCTGAGGATAACAAGATGGTGCAGGATAATTAATTTGCCTTCTTTGATGCTTGGAGTGAAATCAATCGTTCTCTGCTGATTGCCTCAAACACCTCTGGTTTACAAACAAACTGTGTTCTAATTTTGTCCTAATTTTGATGTCCTGGTGATTTGATGTAAGAATCTGAGAATGTTACCTTTTGGTGATCACATAACTTTCTGCCTTAGATGCTTACAACTGAGCAGTTAAAACAAGTGGAATCTTGGTGACTCGGTGTTGCTTGACTACACCGGTGTGAGGGGGCTTTTGTGAAGAATGATCCATGCATTTGGAGGGCAGGGAGGAGACTCAGGCATGTAGGGGAGCAGGAGAAGGTAAAACAAAAAACGTAGAGAAAGTAAAAAGCCTCAGCTTGGTCCTACCGTATTGTACAATTCCTCTAGTCTGGAGATGGTGAGAAAACGGTGCATGCTTACTCCATTCTCTATGAGTAATTTCACAAAATCCACTCTGTCCAGAACTAGGGCATCCAACATGGCTTGTTCCAAAGACCCCACCTGCAAATCAAGTCACTGTGTTAGCCTGCCCCAGGCTCTGGAGATGCAGCTCTTTAGCATTCACCTGGACAGTTTAGACATGGATGCCTCTGACATCTGGTAAACCTTCAGCACACCCAAGAGCATGCTAGCAAGACTGCTTCCAACTCTGCTTTTGGGACAGCGATAATCTCTCCTGTGTTTTGGGTCTTATCTTTGAAAATAGAATTCAAGGATTTCTAGTTGCTAAAGCTATAATCTCCTTGAATCTCAAAATCGGCCTCTCTCTTTTTCACTCTCTCTCCTGAGAAGGTACAAGGGTTTACAAGGCTTTTCCTCCCCTAACTCTCTGACCAAACTTCTGCAGCACCAGTGAAGTGCTAAAGTGGGTACCTTGCTGTCTTTGTTTTCATCTTTCTTAGGCTCTGAATTAGACCCTAGCTGGCTTGACAAGAGGGACCCCTGTAAGCAGACTAGAAAGTAGGTTGTTCTATTTTTTTAGTTAAGTGATATCACTTTGCCTTTATCTCACCCATTTCCACAGAGAGACACAACTGTTTAGGTCCTTTGGCTTGTTTACTAAGGTTTTATTTAATTCCTCTTACAAAAATTTCTGTGTCCAGACTCCTTGACAAATTTTTCCATAGCAGCAATGCCCTCATGGCACTAAATGAAGACAGAGACTCCATCCTAGGCAGACGCTCTGGGGAAAGGAAGGGTTAAAAAAGACCCGTACACTCATTCCAGGCACAGAAGTATGCTGGTTACCTCCTGGGGACACATGCATACATCACCCAATGGGCAATTTTCCAAGTTTTTATTTTTGGTAGAGTCAATTGAGGGCAACAAACCAGGAACAGTTATATAAAGCATTGGTTCCCTCTGTGCTGTGCTTGGGAATAGGGAGGACCGGTGCTCAGCCACCAGGACCAGATGGCACTGGCATGGGGAAGCCTGCTAATTCTGCATCCTGAGGTGCGACCCAGCCATACACCAGCACAGGTTGCCGCTACCTGGAAGCAGCAACCTCAAAGGAAACCAGAAACAAATTGCTAACTACAACTGCTAATTCCCTCCTGTATTTTAATTGATGCAATTTTTTAGACATTTAAAAGAAATAGCACCATTTGCTGCTGAAAGTTGCTATCAAAGGCGCTCAGAGAGATGGGAGATGTTGGGAGCGTTTTGAGTTGTGCTTAGTCACATGTTCCACCAGGTGGCAGTGATTTCCTAACTCATTTACATCCTAAAGAAAAGGCAGCAGTTTCCCCAGCTGCTCTCAGAAGCTCCTTAAATAAACACCCTTGCCCAAGCAAGCGGAGGGCTTTCCAGGGGTGACAACATATATACTCTACCGGCCACTGTTGCCCATAAATAAAGATCTGGCTGCGAGCGATGTCGACTCGGTTCCAGGCTAAGGCCAAGCTCAGTTGGTCCGGGGCAGAGGCATTGGCTCCTGTAGACAAGAGGAAAGAGGGGGAGAGAGAAAACAATGATGAGCTTATTATACCAAGACGACCCACTCCCTTACTCTCCCATCAATACCCCTCTTCTGAAAAGCGGACTCAGTTGTACAGCAGGGTTTCTCCAAACTCGGCACTATTGACATTTTATTGTGAGGGCTATCCTGTAATTGTGGAATATTTAGCAGCATCTTTGGACTCAACCCATTAGATGCCAATCGCACCTCTTTTTAAAGTCACTACCATCAAAAATGTCTCTATACATTGCTAAATTCCCCCAGGAGTGAAGGGACACAAATCAGTCATTAAGAACTACTGCTTGACAATCTCTTTTTTAAAAAGTTAGTGTGGTTGGTATACAATTTTATATTAGCTTAGGTGTACAATATAGTAATGTGACATTTTTATAGCTTACAATGTGATGACCCCACGAATTTTAGTAATCATCTGTCACTGTACAAACTTATGACAATATTATTGACTATATTATCTTGTATATTTTTCACACTTCTTCCCCCATTGGTCTCTGTTTCTATTTTTTGTTTGTTTTGTTCCACTTGTAAGTGAAAACATATGGTATTTGTCTTTTTCTGTCTGACTGATTTCACTTAGCATAATACACTCTATGCCCGTCCATGTTGTCATAAATGACAAGATTTCATTCTTTTTTATTGCTGCATAATATGTTATTGTATATATGTACCACATCTTCTTTATCCATTCATCTATGGATGGACACCTAGGTTGCATCCATATCTTAGCTGTTGTAAGTAATGCTGCAATGAACATAGGGGTGCATATATCTTTTTGAATTAGTGTTATGTTTTCTTTGGATAAATACTCAGAAGTGGAATTGCTATGTTGTGTGGTAAATCTCTTTAGTTTTTTGAGAAATCTTCTCTCCTCTCCTTTCATCCTTTCCACAGTGGCTGCACCAGTTTACATTCCTTTACTCCACATCCTCACCAACACCTGTTATTTGTTTACTTTTTTAAATAATAGCCATTCTCAAGTGGAATTTCTGATTCTGGTGTCCACATATGTTGGGTTCAGTATAAACCACATACTTGTAGTAAGTTGATTAGTGTTTAAAAATTATGAATATTTATTCAGTTTACACAGGGATTTTTTTCCATAAAAATATATTATTTCCTCAGATAACAACAGGGACTGCAAACTCATACCAGGGTCACCAGCATAAACAAATGATAAATAGCAACATATCAAAATGTATTGCCAATTGTTATACTATTGTTATTGTTATAGTATTATTTCTGACTTGTAATGGAAAATAACTCCTTTATGTTCCTCACATTCCCATTTTTGTTTTTATTTCAATTCTGTTAGATCCTAGTACCAATGCTCACAATTAGAGATTTTGCCAGAGTGTGCTCAAGAATCTCTTGGTCAGTAGGTGGAATTCTTCTCTAGTAGGTTTTTTTTTTTTTTTTTTTTAAGAGTTACTTATAGGGACAGTTCTAGAATGTTTTAAGCTGTTTTTGAAAATAGTCATTATGGTTGAGTGACAATGGCTCAATATAAAATCTGTTGCTCTGTTGCTCTATTGTCTCCCCACATTGACTATTACTGTAAGTAGGTCTCAGGCCAGCTTGATTTTCCAACTCATGCTTATTTTGCCTGGTGGCTCAAAATATTCTTTCTTTTCTTTTTCTTTTTCAAGTTAAGTAACTTTACTAGTATATAGCTGATATATCTGGGTGTTGAAGATTCAAATAAGTTTTTCCAGCATAACGTGGCTTTTTCAATATCTAGATGAAAGTTTAAAATATTTTTAAATAAAAAATTTCTTAAATTATATTTTTAAATTATGTAATTATATTTTTAAAATATCTGTTCTGATGCATTATTTTGTTTTTATTTCTTGGAGATACCAATTATGCTTATGTTGGATCTCTATTTTTTGACTTTTATAAATATAATTTCTCTTTCATACCAATTAACTCTTTTTTTCCAATTACCTCTTCATTTTCATTTTATTTCATTCTTATTCAATTTCCCCATTTCTATCCTTTGTGTCCTGCCCTGGTTTTTACAATGTGTATTTTATCTTGCACTATTCCTGATTTCTTCTGCAATTCTCTGATGATTTTATTTTGTTTTCCCAGTACTTCATTCCTGAGTGCTACTCACATTTTATCTCCTCTTGCTGCCTCACCTACTCTGAGTACTTCATTGATATTTAAAATGTTTAAATTTGGGGGGCGAGAAGGGGTCAATGGAAGAAAAAAGGGGACATATGTAATATTTTCAACAATAAAGATTTTAAAAAATAAAATGTTTAAATTTAATAATAAAATATTTATTCATGTTTATCTGTTCCCAGGAAACATTTTTATGAAGAGTATTATTCTTCTGTGAATACATTTTGCTTTTTTTTTTCTTAGACTATGTCTATATGTGAATCCTTTACTTATTATTTATTACTTGGTGATTTGGGTTATTTTGGACGCAGGGTAGCTTTCCAGGCTAGTTATTATTCACAGCTGGAAGGCTTTCTTCTCAGTTACCACAAAGACAAATTCCTCCTGCAAACGTGGCTTAGCTGCATAATTCTATATGGCGCCCACCTTCTGTATATCCAGGTGGTAAGTCAGGATCAAGGTCTACTGCCACTACCCAACTCACTCTCATTCTTGCAAAAAGAGAAAACTTTGTGCCTTGGGGTGTTCCTCACATCTAGGAATAACATTTTTGTTGGTGCTCTTTGAGGACTACCACTGCTGGTTTCTCTCTCCTCTCCTTTCATCCTTTCCTCCCACATAGCTCCTACATATATAAATATTTTGGAACATTTCCTAGTTTTACCCAAAGAATTTGCAGAATTAGTAAGCAAGTCAAAAATTCAGAATGAGTGAAGGCAGAGGAATGCTGGTAGAAAGGCAGGTTAATATTCAGAGTGATGGTTAAGGGGAAAAAGGAAGATGCTACCTTGAGGGGCTTGGTAGAGAAGAGAAGGGTCTTCTTAGGTGACAGGGACCCTGACTGTGTTTATAGCAGAAGTGAAAGGGCCACTGGAGAGGGAGGCATTGGAAATGTGAAAGAAGAAAGCAAATACATGATGGATGAGACCCTGGAGAATGGAGGCCAAGAAGAGAATCTTCAGAGTAAAGAAGAAAAACAAAGAGGCTGAATGAAGAAAATAATATTCATGAGTGGAAGAGAATGATAGAAGAAAACTTGGATGAACATAAATAGTATCAGAGAAGTAAGAGAGGTACCACCTGCTAAGACTGAGAATGGTAGCTTGAAGAGAATGGAGGAAGGTGGAGGCTTAAAGAATGAGGCAGTTTCAGAGCAGAGTTAGGACCCGCTTGAGGTATGTATGCCATCCCAAATATGTCATGGTACCAATGGGTATGCGTTTCTGGGAATATTTATTTAGGGACTTGAGCATCAGTGTTGGGGAGCATTCCTTTTTGAAGTCTGAGGTTTAAACTAGAGCCCATATATAACTTTTTAAAATGGTCTTGACATTTTATTTATTTATTTTAAAATATTTTGATAGATTCTTTTTAGAGAGATAGGAAGGGAGAGGGAAAGAGAGAGTGAATATTCGTCAGCTGCCTCCTGCATACCCTCTACTGGGGATGAGCCTGAGACCCTATCATGTGCCCTGACCAGACTCAAAACCACAACCTTTCGGTGCATGGGACCATGCTGAACCAACTGAGCCACACTGGCCAAGGCAGGGAACAATGTTTTAATTCCCTGAGGTCATTAAATACCTCAATGGGCTGTAAAGAGCTGTGGACTCTCTTTGGGAGTTTCCAAATAGAAAATGTGAGGTGTGTCATCTGAGCTGGATAGTTTAAGTCTGGTCCTGCTTGATGGGCTGGAGTGGCAGAGGGGGCAGGATTTGCTAGCCTTGTAATGTCCTTAGTAGGGCCATCATTCTGTGAGAATAGGATGATGCAATCCATTCCTACATTAGTTGAGGCACATTTCTTCTTGTTGGAGTCTTTGGACCTTTCCGTTTCTTACTTAAAGAATCTTGTCTGGATTAAATAGTCTTCCTAAGGATTGTACTTATTTCCATCAGTTTATTTTTCATGTAAATATTGCAGCTAAATGTGATAAGGGTCTCAGTCACTGAGAGGCGGCCAATCCATTCATTTAAAGACATCAGATTCTCAAAAAAGTAAATAAATTTAATAAGTAGATATCAGATTCTCTATTTATATAAAAACCAGGAAGGTAAAATGAAACTAATTAAAATGTGACTTGGGTTGGCTATCATGTGACTGGGTTGCTAGGATACACCTTCCATTGCCTCTGAGAGCACAGACACCACCTACCCTGGAGAACCTCTCAGGAATGTGGCTGCTACATGGAGCAAAACCAAATTAAAGGCTGGAAGCAGACACATAAAAAGTAGATGAGGCCTGTGTATAATTTATTCTTTGCTCTGTTTTCTTGCCCTGAATGATAACTATCTCTCCTTGGTAAAAATAACTTCGGTGAACTCTCAGGAGAAAGTTAAAAGGAAGTAGGAAAACTTGCATGAACTTTAGCTAAAGAAATTCAGATTTGGCTTGTACCAGGCGGCTGAAGTGAAACAGCCCTTTGCAGGAAGTTGGGGTTTTCTTTTTTGGCGTATTTTTAATAAATAAGAAAGATAATAATAACTAATACTTCTTTCATGCTTAACTTGTGCCATGAACTCTTTCTAAGTGTTAATGTATTAAATTCACAGAACAAACTATGAGGTGCCATTATCAGTATTTTACAGATGAGAAAACTGAGGCACAGAAACTGGTCCAACGTGAAGTACCTAGGAAGTGCCCGAGATGAGATTCAAACCCAGGCAGCCTGGTTTCAGAGCGGATTTTTTATTTTTTATTTTTCTTACTCATAGAAACTTAGAAAATGTTATTGAACTCATGATACCCCCACACAAAGAGAAGTAGGCAAACAGGCTTTTGTGACCTCTCTCTAAAACAACCCACACTACACGAATGAGGTGAACCAGAAT